GGATTACAGGATTTTAAAAAAGAAAAGTTTGTCTAGTATTAAATCCTGCTTATCTGTATGCTGGTTGCTGAAGAGGCATTTTGTTTCCTTCTTCACTTTTTATTATCTCTTTTGACCGGGTCACATAATCACTTTTTGTGAACTTCTGATAAGCAAAGTCAATGGGGGAGCCAGATTCACTTAACAACCGTGTTACTAACTTAACAACTGCAGTGATTCACAATAACTACAGCAAGAAAGGTTGTAAAATGGGGCAAAAGTCACTTAACAAATGAATCACTTAGCAACAAAAATTCTGGGATCAATTGTGGTTGTAACTCAAAAAATACCTATACTAAGAAATAAACATGAGGAATATGTCCTCCATCTAGTGAATGGCATAATAAAACTTACTTTAAAAAAGATCTCTGAGAGAGAGATGGTTGGTCTATAAATTTGATAAATAAATAAACTTGATGTCAACCAATCTTTTAAAATACAAATTAAAATATAGAAAAAAAAGAAGAACAGAATTTAAACTGCCAGGTTTTATTCAGTTTTTTGTTTCTACAAGAGGAGAATAGAAAATGTTGCTTAGATGTATTTGTTATGAGTTTTACGTTTCAGTAGATGGCAATGTTGGAATCTAGAAAATTAATTTTTTAGGTGGGGAGGCATGTTTTGTATTTTAACAAGTTTTAAAATTAATGTCTACAATAAGTTAGCTAATGCTAGGAAATTTACATCCCTAGTATCAAACCAATTAATTTCCTCAGATGTTAGCATAATATGAGTAAAATTATTTTTTTCTGAAATTACTTGTGTTGGCTAGAGAAGTACACAAGGTAAATGGCTCCAAATAGCTATTATTTACCAATTAAAAATACCTTTTCAGCAAGAAGAACATAACTGCATATTATCAAAGTTTCTAGAACAGGAAACATGTAATGAACATGAGACCAAGCTAAATTAAAAAATGCCAGGGAATTCCTGGAAGCTTGGCATTCAGAGAGATCAACCAGACAAAGCAAACAAAAAAGCTCAGAGAGCACCAAGGACTCCATAGTCACATATGTTCTCCTTAGCTCTATTCCCAGTATTTGACGTCATTTAACTTTAGTGCATATATGAAAGTAGTTACATTTCAAGATAAATGGTTGTAGTGAAATAAAATTGTCTTACAACTTTATCAATTAGAATAGAGCTGGAAGAGACCTTAGGAGATCTTCTTATCCAACCCATGCTGCAGCAGAAGATCCTATACCATTTCAGACAAGTGGCTGTCCAGTCTCTTCTTAAAAATCTCCAGTGATTAAGTGCCCACAACTTCTGGAGGCAAGCTGTCCCTCTGGTTAATTGAACATTAGAACATTATGACATTAGAAGCATATCTAATTTATAGCAATGAATTCTTGATGTGTGTGCGATTAAGGCACCAGGCACCCATAGGGTTGATATTGTGGCAAAAATAAGAGAAGGAAGATGTGTTGGATATCTTTGCTTCCTTGGATTATTTGTAAAAATAATAAGGGAGGGCTACAGATAAATAAATAGAAATTAGCCTTCTTTGAGAGGGGAGCAAAGAAGAGATCCATGGTACTATCTGGTCAATCCTTGAGTTGTTTTGCTTAAAATAACATTTTCATTTTTCCTTCCCTTTTTAATATTTCATCTTATTTTTAATACTATGTTAATATGGGAACGTTAACATATTTTAACAAATGTCATATAGAGATTATGTTACAATGTTATGATAATTCACCCTACAAGCTTTGTTAATGTGTAGAATATGAAATTTTTCTTTGCCTTTTAACTACTGTCTCTACTATAGTTATTACGAACAATGCAAAAATGTACACATTTTGACCATGAAGCCTATGATGTAGTATTTACATTTACGAAGATAGCCATAATTAGGATATGATGCCCTTTAGAAAGTTGGATCAGTTTTATTTTTCAGCACTTCTGGCACCTCCTTTCAAGTTTTCTCCCAACCCATTGAATAGCCAGTCTGTGTGAAAGCATGATATTCAACATTGGTTTTACCAACATAAGAGCTTTGTTGGACTAAAGTAACAGCTTCACTCCTTGAAAATGACTACTTGACTACTGGAAATTCTGAAAGACTGTGCAATTGTAGGGAAATATTCTCTTTATAAGGGAAGTAATACTGATAACTAAAAATCTGAGATAGATAGATGGATATAGATATACAGTAGATGTAGATGACGTAGATGTAGATGTAGATATAGATATAGATATAGATATACGGTAGATATAGATAGATATATTGTTGTATGTTGTTGTATGTCAGCTTGGGCAAATAACATAAATCAAATTGAAGTAAGCAAGGAGAGTGATCACATCAAAAATTGGACAGGGGTGCAGAAATAAAAGAAAAAAGAGCTATCCCCCATGTTGCAGCTTGTCTAATGATTCTGTTAGTCAATATCAGGTATGCTTAATTTATCATTTAAATTTAATTGGTGGCATATTTAATGAGATTTGATTTGAAGGGGTGAGCTGGTGTATAGTTGGCTTGACTTAGCTCTGCCTATTTGATGCAATATCGGCCCAGACTGCCGGAATTGAGATGAATCATTGTGGTTTACTAGACTTATCAAGAGATTCTTCTCCTTCAGTGAGGGATCTGAGTATGCACATCTTAAGTTAGGTTACAGGATCAGCATGAACATTTGTTCATACACAGGTTCCTCCATTGCCTTATCTGAGCTAGGCAGGATAATTATATGATGTAGAGAATCTGAAGCTCTTTAAGGCTCACAAGCACATATGGTCTCTTTCATGCTTCCATCTGAAGATCTTATGATTTCTATGACAAGCATGGGCAATTTTACTATATCACCAGTTTAAGTATATGTCATTAGCACATAAAGCAGAGCATCCTCATAATTTCATAATTAAGCATTGTGTAAAGATTACGAACGGGGAAGGTTTCTTATGTCTCTGTTCTCATAGTCAAATTATTTTCTGGTAAGGATTGGATTGGTAGCCATCAGACTCACTTACATTAGTGAGGGATCCTTTAGACTTATTTGTGAATTCCAGAATACTCTGAAGGATTTCCAGGTGAAAGGTTTGGAAACTGTGCCAAAATGCATTTACAACATCTTTAAATAAACGTTGAGACATTACTTTCATTAAACTATACTCCATGAGAAAGAATGCTTGTTTTCCACTATATTTTTAGATACAGGTTGCCTGGCTACAATATCTAAATCTAAGTTGGATTATAGCAATTTGCCATAATTAAGCTTGGCCAGAAAAATGCATAACCCAGGCATTACAGCAATATTTGTTCTAAAGGAGCTGTACCAATTTTCAATTTGCCGTTGAGCTGTTTGGTGTGACTGTAACAAATTACAAATTTGTATGTGTGTTAGGTCCTGAAGTTCATTCCTTCTGTCCTATATATTTGATCAGACGTTTCGATCTTTTTGAGAAAATTCATTTGCTAGAAATTTGACGCTGCCACCTGAGAAAAGCCATTCTTGATAACAAGTCTGTGAAATTCCTAGCCTGTTGTGTTGCAGATGGCATTTAGCACAATAGTTGCTTGTCTCCATTTCAAAATGTATCTTGTGGTCAGATTGGGCTTTTGAATCTTTTTTTATTTTTTATCTGAAGTTCTTCTGTCCTGTATCTTTTTTGTACACATAATAGCATTTTATTATTTTAAAGATGTGGATATTCTTAGGTTTCCCCAAAATAAGGGTTCTTCTGGTTATGCAGCTTCTACGGTGAAACTATTTTTATTTCAAATTTCTTGTAAAATGTAACATATATTGTATCTTTCTTTGGGGACAGCTGTTTCATGAAACAAAAGTGGGATAAAAATCTTAAAATAAAAATAAAAATAATAATTCACAGGTGCAATTTTTTTTCTATAAAAGTAGCTGCCCTTTCACCAAAAAAATAAGCTCACTCTTAGTGTGCAAAGATAGCAATTTTATTGCAATGCATTGGAAGCAAAATACAATTTCCTATAATTTGAGATTAATTTAGTGACAAAATTCTTCTATTCTTATCTACAGCATAGAATCCTAAAACTTTTCAATTTTGTAGCTCATCCATCTTTAGGGGTTATTTTAAAATTATCCTTTTCTCATTAGTTTAGCAGTTCCATGTAGGCTTATATTGACCCCTTTAGTCTTCAGCAAATTATTCAATCTATTAAAAGTCTGACCAAGTCTTAATATATCATTTAACTTCTTAGACAACAGAAGCTGCCTCATAAAGTGCTATTGGGTGGGAAAAAGAAGGATAATCTGCAATTATTTTCAGAAATAATTGAAGTAATTTTGCTTTTCAGAGCAAGAAAAGATGCTACACTAACATGATATATTTATATGATTAATATATTAAATACATCCTTCCTATATGAAAATACAGGTGCATATTTTTCTTTGTAGGTTGACTGTTAGCATTGGTATATCTTTTATATCGGATTTTAATAAAATAAGAATGACAAAACATGTGGAGAACATTTTAAAAGTTAGCTGTTTTCTAGTGTCAAATAGTAAAATTATTTGGATAGCGCTAATGGTTTTAATAAGAACTCTCAGATACAGTATTATCATAAGGCTAACAATCATCATGAAGAACACAAGCCTCAAGTGGACTTTGGCATTTTTGTATAAAGTGTTTAACAAAATTAAACAGCCTGTTTATATCATGATGTGTTGATGTCAGCAAATTGCATAACCACCTAGGAAAAAGCCATAAATATAAAGACCTTGACTACGTAAAATGCTGTTTAGACTAATCTTCCTTTCCCTCATCCCCTAATATTGCCTGATGAAGAGCTCTGAATATCTTAACAAGTTCTTCTATTATTTCATTTGCTTTTAGTTGCTTGTATAAAAGAAACTATTTTTCTATGGATTTGAACCGTTTTATTTACGGAGTAACATGGGTGTGATTATTATTTTAGGCATCTATCTAGCTTTCATCATTTTAACCAGAAAACATAGTCAAATGGGGGAGGGGAGGGAATCCCTATTTTTGGATTTGATTCTCATCTTTCAGAAGTTTGAGTGGTCCCACAACAACATTAATCTTCTCCTGAGTTTCGTCCACACCTCTCTTCTTTCTCATTAAACATCCCTGGTAGCATCGAGATGAATGATCATCTAGTCTACACACTACTAATTTACATTGTAGGTAAACTGAATTGTACTCGTTAAGGAACTTAAAGGAGTTGAATTGGAAACGAACTATATTGTTTCTTGGTGAGGACAGGCTTCTATAAGTAGAGTCTCGTGCACATCTGAAAAATAAAAAAAAAAGTTGTTTCAGGTATGCCTGTTTACTTCAAATATTTTATTACAGCGTAATGATGTATATAATTACTAAATTTCTGCAGAGTAGGCTGACTCTGATGATTATGAGATGCACTAGAGAATAATGGAGAAAGCATATAATATTGGAATATCAAAATGAATAAATTAAACCCAAATTTGGGGCTCGTAAAAGTGCTTCAAGATATGTACTTGGGAGGGAAAGTAATATGTTGCTAGTACAGAGGACTGTATAGTAAGAGCAAGGCAATGGCCCTGTAGTAATAACTATTTTTTTTATTTACAAAATATGTAAAATTGACCATAATCAAAAGAAAGTTTGGTCATTATTATACATTTTGTGACCACTCCATTCAGCCCACAGTATCCCTTTATTCTCCTTAGTTTTTCTATATGCGATTGAATTATTTGATATTAATACAAATTTTATAATTTGATATTAACATTTAATATTTGAAAGAAGTGAAATATTTGATACTAAAAAAACATGGCATTGTTTTGTTTGAAAATGCGTGGTTATAGTTTGCAAATGAACCCTGCCCTTCTTTCTATACTGTTTTAAGAAATAAGACATAAGAAGAAAATCTAACTCAGAATCTGTGTGGCTGACACAACAGCAATTCCTTTGTGGACAACTTGGGATTATGGTTCTTACATATTTAATACACACTTACCCGCTTCGGATTAAGTCATAGGTCAAGGTTCTAAAATCATTACTATCTGGAGACGCGACACATGTGTCTAGGAAGAGTATAAGATTTGGATCAGAACTGTGCAGAGTAGCTTGGAGATATAAATTCTGGTTGAGTGAAACGTAGTATGGTGATCCCACAATTCTACGGCTGAATGATGGTGAGGAATAGAATGCCAGAGAAACATTGTAATGGCCAATTTTCCTTTGAGTCAGGTCAATCGCATTGTGAGCAATAAACATCGTCTCCACAATAGTATTCTGCTTCATTTCACACAAAACATGAAATTGAAAATTTTTCTTTCTTGTAATAATATAATCGGAGTTGATTGTCTTGATTACATTGTAATAAATTATTGTGTCATTATTCTTTGTCTAAAAAAAGCACAGAAAAAAAGAAAAATTAATCAACAGTGTAGACATCAAAATACCCATTAAACACCAC